AGAATCAAATTACTCATACTATACCATGTGTTAGTAGTGGTTTTATGGGCAAGCATTTATTATGTACATGTCGGAACATGAATTACCTCTGCAATTTTTAAAATGTTAAGTACAATGGGGAAATGTTATCCTATCACCAAAACAGCTGGCCACTACTGTCAATTTGGTTGAATTGGTCAATTCCAATGTAACTTACAGGGAAAATCCTACTGCTTATTTGACTGAACTGATGAGTCAGTTCAGTTTGTCTCTCTGGTTGTCTCATTTAAAAATGTCAAAGGACAAAATTACAACAAATTTAGTTAAAGTTCTCAATTGTCTTTATCATGATTCTAGAATCATTCCATACAATAGAATAAGTGTTCCAATGAGCTGAGCAGAGGAGGTTGGTTTTATAGGCAGAAAAGGCTTAAGAAAGCAGAAACGAAGAACAAAAAGAGGATTGGTCATTTCAAAATTACTTTCCTTGTAAGGTGGGGAGAGGGAGATGGAATAATAGAAAAATAACAATATTTGAGATCAGTTTACTTCAGTCTATCCTTTTTGCATAAGAATTAAAGCAGAGGGAACTTCATTATAATGCCTGTTGAAGATTTAAAGTGGCCTGTTTGGGAAATTGGCTATTTTCTCTCTCTCCTGATTTTTCAGAAGGTCAGACCACAACTTGGTTTAGATTTCGTGGCATGGAACTTAGCGGAGATGACACCGTTTTGATTTTTAGTCTGGTTTTGGGGGGCCAAGTACAGGAGCTTAGTCCTCCTATAATTTTATTTAACAAGCATATTTAATGCTGTACCAGGGACTACTGTGCCCAGTATGTTGTCAAATCCCCATACTTCAGAAGCTTCTGCATATTAGTGATTTCTTCTGTGATTTCACAAGAGAGTGTGATTGAACTCAGAACTTAGCTTGTCACTCACTAGTTTGGTCTAACCCTCTCCAGAAAAATATGCAAGTTACCCAGAATTACCTGACAACTATTCAGAGGCCTAAGGGAGAGTTTAACCCTGAGGATCTGCAGGTTCATTGAAAAAAAAAAATCAACATTATTTTCTCCCATGTAAGAAGCTGATAATGGCGAGATTTTATTTATTTATTTATTTATTTTTCCCTTTTTGTCTTTTTTCGTGACCAGCAATGGATCGCAACCCTCAGTGTCGCGCCCGTACCAGAATGGCGAGATTTAAAAGTCAGTACCAACACAAATTTGTTCCTTACAATTAACCTTATTTAATGCTGTTGATACTTTTCATGCCTAATTCCCATGACTTAGCAGCATTCATTCCATATCAACTTTCTTCCAAGGTGCTGTTCTGCCCATCAGTATGAGAACATACTAAATAATCCTTGATGTTATTTCTAAGCCTATCATTCTAGAAAAATGTCAAAAATAAATAAATAAATAACCAACATTCACATTGACATTGGCACTGAAGTTCTAATTGATATTTTCTTCCCCACGACCATCACCATATACATCTTCAGGTGTAAAATATTACACCCTTTGAGAATTAATGCTGAGCTCTCATGCCTGATTATTTGCTAAACTGGTTTGTTTAAATTATTCCCCACTTCCATCTACCTTTTTACTTTGAGAACTGAAAAGTGAAGACATACGTCAGTACCTAAATTCTACACATTTTTGAGACGATGTGAGGATTCACCAAGGCCTTGATGAAAGGCGATAAGCTCTTCACACACCGCACTAATGAGCATGATCATCATGGTGCCTTTCTCACCTTCACGTCTTCACATCCAGCGGGGCCTAGAGCTGCTAAGAAAGCAAGCAGCAGCTTTCTACTAATTCTTTCTCACTATCCCAAATTCATGAGTCCAAGCCCAGAGAAAAAGGAGATTCTGCCTCTCAGAGTTCTCTCCATGTCACTGTTGCCACAATCACCATGTAAGCTGAGTTAAACCATGCTAGTTTTTTTTCTCCTTCATTCATAATCATTAAAAATAAATAAATAAATCACAAGGAACACCTTTCTGTTGGACAAGTACAAAATTTCTATGTTCATTCATGGCTAAAGGAGAATGGGCTGAGGGCCACTTAGTGTAAAAATCCTCTGAAAATAAACATATGTATAAGAGGTGGCTGTAAATGGAATTGAAGCAAGCGTGACCTCTCTGACTCTCTCTCTTGCCATTCTTGTGCCCCTTGGACACTGCCCAGTAACTGTCCCTACAGAGCAGGGGGAGTGAACTGGGAAGGCCAAAGTCATGACCTTTGCCGTTACTCATGAGGTTGTTCAATTGGTATCAAGTGAACACTTTTACATCCAAACATTGTTCTAGGCACATAGGAAGTCATAATGAAACAGAACAGGGCCACTTCCCCACATGATAAAAGTTAGGAAAAGTGCACAATTAGGATACAAAACAGAGTGAGAGAAGTAGAATCACAAGGACATCAAGAAATACTATAAGAGTCCCAGGGTGGGAGAGATCTCTTTCTCCTGAGATGGTGACAGATCAGAGGAGCTACCTACGAAAAGTAGACAAAAGTGTTGAAGATGAAGTAGACATGCACAACCAACCAGAAGACTTGAGCTGAGCCTCAAGAATGACAAAAAGGGGGCTGGCCCGGTGGCGCACTGGATAGGTGCGCCGCTTGGGAAGCGCGGCGGCGCTCCCACCCGAGGGTTCGGATCCCACATGCAGACCGGTTCCTGCTCACTGGCTGAGCGAGGCGCAGGAGCAGCGCCGAGGGTTGCGGTCCTGTTGCCAGTCCCCGGTCCAGTACAGGGGCAACACTGAGGGTTGCGATCCATTGCCGGACACGGAAAAAGACAAAAGACAAAAAAAAAAAAAAAAAAAGAATGACAAAAAGACTACTTAGGGATAAAATAATA